GTGCGCATGTCGGACGGGCGCACGCTGGTTGGCTGCTTCCTGTGCACCGACCGCGACGCCAATGTCATCCTTGGCTCCGCCCACGAGTTCCTCAAGCCCTCGGGTCCGTGGTGCGGGGCTTGGGCAAGGAGGGGTGGGATTTAGGGGAGGGAAGTGCTCGAGCGGGGGGGTGGGGCTTACGGACGAAAAGGGCGGGGTTCTGGGTGGGACCAGGGGGTGGGGCTTAGGGTGGATTGGGCGGGCCTTCGGGAGGGAGCGGGGCTTGAGCAAGAAGGTGGGGTCACGTAGGGGACAGGCCTTGAGGGGGTGGAGGTTAGGGAGGGGAGCAGAGGGTGGGGCTCCAGAAGAGGCTACTAGGTGGGGGCGGGGCTGCAGCTTGAGCGCTAACCCCAGCTCCTCCCCCAGACTCCTTCTCAGGCGCGGAGCCGCGAGTGCTGGGCTTGGCCATGGTGCCTGGGCACCACATCGTGTCCATCGAGGTGGAGCTGGAGCCGTCAAGGCCATGACCCCACCCAGAGCGGAGCATGCTGGGACGTGGCCCCCCCTTGGGCACTGCAGAGCATGCTAGGACACAGCCTCCCCCTGGCCAATAAAGGCAATGGGACCCACTGTGCCAGCCCCAGCCTCGTCTGTGTGGGGGGGTGGCACTGGAACAGGTGCCCCTCACTCCTGCCCTGCAGCCCCCACCTCCTCATGGTATTGACCCCCCCCCCAACCCCAACCCCTGTTTTTTTCTTGGCCCCCAACATAACCAGACCCCCACCCCCATCAGGGACCTCCCCAAGCTGGTCCCTCTGGCCCTGTCCACTGGGTCACCCCAGGGAGGGTCCTCACCCCCTTTCCTCACTGCCCGTGGGGACCCCCTCCCCAAGATGAACCTCCCATGACCTGTGACCTCCTGACCCTAGCACCCCCTGGTGTACCTGACCCTGATCTCCCCATCCTTTTTGCCCCCAGGAGGGGCCTCTGTCCCAGCCCTCCAGGGGCTTGTGACCCCAGCCTCGTCTTGGAGGTCATGGCCCCCCCTGAAGTCACTGACCCCTCTAGCTCCCTGTAATGGCTAGGCCTCCTGAGGGGGCTGTCACCCCAATTCCCTCTCCCCTCAAGGTCCTCCCAACCCCCTCTCACTGCTATGAGATGAGATGACCCCTGACCCCCACTCGAACACCTGGGGTCCGTCCTGAGATGCCAACCGCTGGTCACTGAGGCAAGGCAGCCCCAATGACCCCCACTCCTGCCAGCACCCCTCACGCCCAACCTACAACCCTCTCCCCCCACCAACACCCCTCACTCCCAACCCACAGCCCCCTGCTCCCCCCACAGCCCTGCCCATGCCCCTCACTCCCGACCTGCAACTGCCTCCCCTACAACGCCTCTCACTCCTGACCTACAGCCCCCCCCCGCACCCCAGCAAGCCCTTTCAGTCTCTGAGTTAATTTAATCTTTTTTTTGTCTTTTTTGGAAGTATTTTTTTTTTTACATTTACAAAATATTTTTTTTTTTCTTTTTCCTCCTTCCTTTGTCGCCCTCAGTTGGGGGGAGGGGGAGGTGGGACTCAGCACCATAAAAGGGCATGGGGAGGAGGAGGGGACAGACGACGAGACCCCAAAAATCAATACAAAAAGGGGGCGCTTCCGGCCCAGCACACAGGAAACCGCCGGCACCGCCCCCCACCCCCTCCCCGGCGCCATGGCCAATAAATAGAGGATTCAGTACAAAATAGGGACGTATAAATTAAAGGGGGGGTGGGGAGGGCGGGAGAGCCCGGAGCCCCCCCCAGAGCCTGCCAGGAGAGCGTGGCACCAGCACCCAGCCCGCCATGCGAGGCGGGCCACAGATGGCCCCACTCGTGCAAAACAAAAAGACCCCTGTCCTCGTGCAACACACAAGGGGAGGGGGGATGCAACACTCGCACGAGGGCTGTGGGCCATGCCAGCCTGTGGGCAATGCACGAGGGGGGAGCGTGCACCAGCACTGCATGTACAAGGGCAGCTCAAACAGAAACGGTCCCCCCTCAGTGGCATGCAGCAAAGGAGGTGGGGCCTCAGCCCTCGTGCGAGAGGCGTGTCCTGCGGAAGAAACCCGTATGTTTGGCGATGATTGGTTGGTTGGGTTTTTTTGCGTGATTTCCAGAGAAAAAAGTTTAAAAGAAAGACGACAAATGAGA